CCCCTAAACTTGTCCACCACCCCTACACTTGCCCCACCACCCCTACACTTGCCCCACCACCCCTAAACTTGTCCCACCACCCCTACACTTGTCCCCTTATTGACAGAGATAATCAGAGCAGCTAAGAGAAGACCGCAAGCAGCGCGTGAAGGAGCAGTGAGAGGCAGTAGAGATTATTATTATTAACATCTTTATTGACAAAATTAATTACAATTTTGCCTAATCTGAGGATTTTGATAGTCTTATTACATAAGACAATAGGCCTAAACTGTAGGCTGAAGCACATATATATCACGGTTACAATCAATGTTTTAATGTGTGAATATGTGAAAACAACTTTCTATTGTGCACTGCCACACAAGTGCAGGGATGGGTTCATAAGTGATACAGCTTAGAATATAAGTAGAAATTGTTCTTCATTCTTTAAAATGGACAAGCAAATTTTGGGTAAATTGTTAGGATGTCGTCCAGAACACCTGAGTCAATAAAATAGTTACACAGTTGGTGGTACAATAGGCCAGGAGGTCTAAAGTCCTTTACGGTTTCACATTCATCAATATAGTGTTCTAGTGAATGCATTAAAGGTTTATCACAGAGTTTACAATCTGAATATTCTGGTAGTGGCTCAGCCTCACTAACCTGCCAGATGTGTCTATAGCCAAGGCGAATTCGCGCGATTACTACATCACATTGCCTGGTCCGGTTACTGTGCTGACCATACAAATACCTATTATTACAGAACTTGTCATAACTTTTAATACTGCAGCTTTCAGGTCTCTGTGCATTTCTTAGTTCTTCTAAATCTGAATTAATTTCTTTAATTTGTATGTTTCTAATAACTGCATTAGATAGTCCAAAATCATAATCAATGTTTTCTTTCCTGCAAGCCTCATTGGCCAATTGATCTACAAAGTCATGTTTTTCAACTCCAACATGGGATGGGATCCACACAAATTTTATACAAGAATTATTATCATTGGCAAAAATTACATTCCATTTAATATTACAAGCTACTTCCGACATACATTGTGATGGGTTATTTAAGGACTGCAGAGCACTTTTAGAGTCACAGAAAATAACTCCACCACCATTGAGCTTAAGGTATTCAGTGGCTAGATAAATACCCAATAGCTCGGTCTGTGTCGTGCTTGCCCAGTTGTTCAATCTCTGTGTACTAGTCATGATCATTTCATTCCCTTTATACACTGCACATGCACAACCTGTTCTACCAGTGCCTAACTGCACAGAGCCATCAGTAAAGGCATAGGATTCAGTCGGTTTGAGAATTTGAAGATGACTGTCAATAGCTTCTAATGTTATACATCTCAAAATGTCAGTGTTATACATTTGTTTTACACTGATGGGAGTATAATGCAGAGAGACCTCCACATCTTTCCAAGGGGGAATATAGGCAGTAGAGAAGAGCCGAGCAGGCAGTGTGGAGTGGGGGCCTTGCGTGGCCGGCGGTCTGCGTGATCCACACACGATAAAGTCATTAATGAAAGGATAACGAACATGTATGACGGTACCGGGCCACCGCCACCTCCGCCAGCACCACTGCTCACCACCACCTCCGGCACCAATACCATTTAGAAAAACGGAGCCGCAAAACCCACCCACTCATCCACCCAAACCACCCCAGCATTACTGCAGTGGCAGTAATAGCAAGGAGCAAGGTACAGCAGGTGTAGCAGGAGCGCGGTACCGCCCCGTTACTGATCTTCCTTCCCCACTCCCCGTCCAAGTACCACAGCTAAACACGCCAGGTATCAACCAGCTAACAACAAGCTATATCAACACTAGTATCAAGTCAGGTGGGACCTGGAGCTGCTATGCTCATCACTCGACTTCTGCTGCTTCCCTCTGCTTTCCATGTTTTATTTGAGAGGTCGATATTGATTTTGCATTCACACGCAGTTGAGGTATGCGGGCGTGGCGTGCGTGTATGTATAGGAGTGTGTGTGTGCGCGTGTGTGCATGGGAGTGAGGGTATGCTTGCTACCGTGGGGGGTGAAGAAATTGCTTGCACGAACGCGCTTATTAACGTTTCGTGCGGGTCCGTGCGTGAGAATGAGTGCATGTTTTGTGTGGGGTGTAGAAGTTGCTGGTTTACTCTTATTGTAGTGGCTCGAGAAGCATTTGTTTGGGTGTGTTTATGCTGTAATATAGAGCAGGTGTGCAGTGAATTCCGTGTTGTGTGTTTGTGTTGTAGCGTCGTGTTTTTTTTGTGTGGTTGTATAGTGGAGTGTGGTTGTGTGGTTGTATAGCGGAGTGTGGTTGTGTGGTTGTATAGCGGAGTGTGGTTGTATAGCTGAGTGTGGTTGTGTGGTTGCACTGGGGTGTGGGCGTGTTACTCCAGTAAGTGTTTCCTCGCGTGGGGGTGTGGGAAGTGCTTGTGGTTTACCCATACAAAAGTGGTCTGCTTCTCGGCACGAATTTACACTTTTGGGGACTTTTGGAGCAGGTGTGGAGTACTGAATAAGTACATGGGGTGTTGCATGTGGATGTAAACAGTAAACCTGAGTATTGGTGATGGTATCCATAGTTGTGAGATGTGTACGGGCGAGGGGGGGGGAGGAGGGATGGTTTACAAGTTCAAAGGTAGAGTGGTTGGCATGGGAGTAGTGATAAAACTAGTAGTAGTAGCGTGGCTGTGAAGATATTGCGCTCGGTACACTTCTTTTTGTGGAAGCTAATGCCACTCTTAGAAAGTTACTGCACGTATTTCTACCCAAATCTGCTACTTGTGCCCCCTGAATAAATTGGTGTATTGAATTTGAATGTGTGTGTGTGTGTGTGTGTGTGTGTGTGTGTGTGTGTGTGTGTGTGTGTGTGTGTGTGTGTGTGTGTGTGTGTGTATACTTAACGGTACTCGTCTAACTCGGCCTGCAAGGTTAAGCTTCAGCTTCTGGGGCTCGCCTTTTTTTTTGTCGATGGCATCTACTTCAAAACTTTTTTTTTATAAAGTTCGCTTGCCCTCTCTACCCATGGTGCGTTTTCCAGTTGTTCAACTATTCGACACAATGAGGAAGTGTTCCCTAAACCCCTACGACAAACAAGTTGCTTCAAACACTTGAAGTAACACAAGCAAGTGAGACGGATTCGGATTGAGTATCAAGTGATTCTGAACTTGTTGTTCAGAATCTCCAGAATTCTAATGTAATTCAGATATACAGAACAAGAGACATTGTGGAGGGTTTTGGACAATAAAACCTTCGTCCAACAGAACCTTCGCAGGTGTGCTCGCTCAGCAAAATACTAGAGGCATATAAGGAAGATCCTTCAAAAGCACCTAATGAGAATTTAGTTTGTAAACAACAGCATGACTATTGCTCATCTCTCTAAAGTGATGTTTTGTTCATCATCGTCAGTGGTTTTAATCTTTTGTGAAACCTATATTAATACTATAGTGGGGAGTCGGTCGGCCGACCGGATAGCACGCTGGACTTGTGATCCTGGGTTCGATCCCAGGAGCCGGCGAGAAACAATGGGCAGAGTTTCTTTCACCCTATGCCCCTGTTACTTAGCAGTAAAATAGGTACCTGGGTGTTAGTCAGCTGTCACGGGCTTCTTCCTGGGGGTGGAGGCCTGGTCGAGGACCGGGCCGCGGGGACACTAAAGCCCCGAAATCATCTCAAGATAAGATTCTCCTCTATAGCTATTATTTGGTATTGAAGGGTTTGTTACACAGACTAATTTCTTCACTTGTGTTGTCCAGTGTTTCATGAGGTGTTGTCTCCTTGTTATATGAGATTATCAGCCTTTGCAAATATGGGAATCTTTCGATTGGTTATTTTTAGGGTCTATTGTTCTCCTTTGAGCTCCTACCTGTGTTACCTCAGGTTGGCAGCTGATCAATTACTTATATTTTGCTTATACTACTACTGGGTAGAATCTCTTGCCGTGTTTGCTTATCTCCCGCCTGGCTTAGATGCGTTTGATTTTTCCCACTTGTATTGTTAATTGCCTTTATCCTTTATAGTCCTTAAATATATATTTTTGAATGTTCGCTTCTTGTTCGAAACCTATTATGTTTCTGCAGCTGTGTTTTATGTGTAACGAGAGTAGGACTCTTGTTAGGAGTAGGACTCTTGTTAGGAGTAGGACTCTTGTTAGGAGTAGGACTCTTGTTAGGAGTAGGACTCTTGTTAGGAGTAGGACTCTTGTTAGGAGTAGGACTCTTGTTAGGAGTAGGACTCTTGTTAGGAGTAGGACTCTTATTTCAGAATGTCCTGATGACGTCGTGAGTACACACACATAACCGATATGTGTGTCTGCCAGTGTGGCCACCGTGTATGCAGTTAGGTACCATGAACCCATTGGAACCTATTGGAACCCATTGGAACCCATTGGGCTCCATGAATATTTACTGAAGACCGTCCACAACCCTCTGTGTTGTCGGAAACTTTCTCAAAGATATTTCCTGCCCGACTCTTCATCTTTGTTTTATCTAAGCATTTTCTCACTTATCATATCTGGCGTATTCCTTAAGTTTTTCTTCACACCTCTCTCACTGTTCTTCTTATGCTCTTTTTATTGTCTTTCCTCCTCGTATGGTCTCCTCTTCCTTGTCCTACGGTTTCCTCCGATCTTCTTCTTTCCCCCTACCTTCCCTGACCAAGGTTGGGGGAGGAGGAGGAGGGGTGATATAATTAGTGGGACGCCCCGCGAGAGTGGCGGCACGTGACTGTGTATATAGATTAACACGGTACATACTGGTCGAAAATATTGACGACGTAACGAGGCGGAAAGTGGGTTGGGGTGTTGAGGGGTAGGGACGTGCTGGTGGCCCACATCACTAGGGATGGTGGGCGTGGACGTGCCCACATCACTAGGGATGGTGGGCGTGGACGTGCCCACATCACTAGGGATGGTGGGCTTGGACGTGCCCACATCACTAGGGTGGGGGGCGTGGACGTGCCTACATCACTAGGGATGGTGGGCGTGGACGTGCCCACATCACTAGGGTGGGGGGCGTGGACGTGCCTACATCACTAGGGATGGTGGGCTTGGACGTGCTGGTGACCCACATCACTAGGGTGGGGGGCGTGGACGTGCCTACATCACTAGGGATGGTGGGCTTGGACGTGCTGGTGACCCACATCACTAGGGTGGGGGGCGTGGACGTGCCTACATCACTAGGGATGGTGGGCTTGGACGTGCTGGTGACCCACATCACTAGGGTGGGGGGCGTGGACGTGCCTACATCACTAGGGATGGTGGGCGTGGACGTGCCCACATCACTAGGGTGGGGGGCGTGGACGTGCCTACATCACTAGGGATGGTGGGCTTGGACGTGCTGGTGACCCACATCACTAGGGTGGGTGCTACTGGTCCCGAAGCTTCCACTGAAGCCTAACCCGGTTTTCACTCAATTCCCCCCTATGCACTTGGGCTCTGTCAACCAATAGTACCACCTCTGACGCTCCTGTGGATTTGTAGTACTAAAACCAGTAGTACAACCCTCATTAAGGCTCTTGTGGATGTGTTCTTTGATATCACGTTAATGTGATTTCTGTGTATTGTTGACATTTAATGTAAGTACAATACACAAGACAACCAGACACACAGACGGACGGAACTAGGACACGGGTAGATCCTGGGAATACAGACGAATCAGAGGGGCAAAATGAAGCATTTCTTCGGTGTGAGAATAGTGTATAGAATAAAGATGATGATGTGGCAATGGAGGCAGACGTCGCTCATCAGTGTGGCTAGAGTCTTTGCGTTAGTCGATAGCTAAAAGGCGGTACTTTGGAGGTGGCGCTCTAATCCAGTACACAGACACAAATACTGATCGTATACAACACTGCAGAAGCTATCGAGTGGATAGTGCTCCCGATATCATCTGATAACACATAAAACTGCTCTAATGGTGAGAAAGTGTTACATATACCAGCCAGTCGGTGAATGTGTAAGAGAGGACATTGATCCACTGAGTATGTTGAATTAGTCGGCGGGCAGTAGAGCAATATTGGTGCAAATATTATGTATTATTCTACACTGTGTGTTCTACCGAGCACCAGCATAATCGTCCCAGACTGTATTGATGAAGAACGTTTTATTTGAAAGCGTTTGTGTTGATGCGTAAGAAGTACTGATACCCTAACTGTTGTTTTGATACGCTAAATCCTTATATTGACACGCTGTGAGTTTGTTCTGGTAGCCGTTTGTCCAGATACATCTAACACGTGTTGATTCGATACCCGTTTGCATCAATAAGTAAACAGTTGTGTTGTTACGCTTACCGTTTGAGTCGATACGCAAACGGTTTATTTACATGCGGGAGCGCCGAAAAATACAACTGGGACCCAACTGAGGCGAGCGCGCGCCCCACCGTCGGCAAGGCGGCCGTCACTCGCATATCGATGTTTCGGCGATGTTGCTGGAGATTCCAGGAAACGGTGAGTCTGTAGCTGGAAGAGTTAATGTTGCTTTGATAAGAGAAGGTGATGGTAGTAACAGCAGCTGAATGATGGTATTTACAGCAGCTGATGGTAGTAACAGGAATGATGGTAGGAATGATGGTAGTAGGAATGGTAGTAGGTAGGTAGTAGGTCCAAACTAACATGCAGGTAGTAGGTAGGAATGATGGTAGTAACAGGAATGATGGTAGTAACAGGAATGATGGTAGTAGGAATGGTAGTAGGTAGGTGGTAGGTCCAAACTAACATGCAGGTAGTAGGTAGGAATGATGGTAGTAACAGCAGCTGAGTGTAGTAATGGTACCAGTAATAATGCCAAATGGCAATAGTAGTATTGATACTTTGATCTGGCAAACCTTGTTTAGTATTTGATCTTGCCTAAAGTAAGCTAACGTGGCGTACTTAACACTACGGATTCGTAGTCCTGAGGTTCTGGGTTCGATCCCCGGTGGAGGCGGAGACAAATGGGCAAAAAGTTTCTTTCACCCTGATGCCCCTGTTACCTAGCAGTAAATAGGTACCTGGGAGTTTAAACAGATGCTAGGGGCTGCTTCCTGGGGGTGTGTAACAAAAAGGAGGTCAGGTCGAGGACCGGGCCGCGGGGACACTAAGCCCCGAAATCATCTCAAGATAACCTCAAGGGGGGAAAGAACCTTGTACTTGGGCTTATCGAGGCCCATGCGAGCCCTGGGTCAAGCTACTGACCCTTGGTTGTTGTTGCTATAGATTCAGCTACTCGGAACAAGTTCCAAGTAGCACGGGCTATGGTGAGCCCGTAGTGGACTTACCTGGCACAGGAGCGGGGCTGTGTGACTGACCCGTGGGATGCAGTCCACAACAGTTATGTAGGCGATGAGTCACAATAACGTGGCTAAAGTAAGTTGACCAGACCACACACTAAAAGGTGAAGGGACGACGACGTTTCGGTCCGTCCTGGACCATTCACAATCGACTTGAGAATAGTCCAGGACGGACCGAAACGTCGTCGTCCCTTCACCTTCTAGTGTGTGGTCTGGTCAACCACAACAGTTGTCTAATTCCCAGGTACCTGTTTGCTGCTAAGTGGACCATCAATCATCATGGAAAAAGAAATGTGTCTCAATAACTTATGTCCCGCTGAGGGAATCCACCCTGGGTCCTCGATTATGAGAAGTGACCGTAGCCATTTTTAGCGTTTTATTTCTACCATAGACGTGTCCATATATTTATAATGATAACCAGCATATATACATTTTATGTCTCCATGGATAGAGTTGCTGATCTGTTATACATATACAAGAGTTCAGTGATTTACTGAACAATCTTCCTTATTTTTTAGTGGCAGGAACCGAGGAACCTAACTCGATCCCTGATTCCTTTTCCTTCCGTCTCTCCTATTTTGTGTTTCCTCTTCTGTCAACGCGTCCTCTCCCATTTTCCTCTCCCACCTTCTACCCTTTATGTTTTCGGCCAGTCTTTACCAAGTTCCTTCCCGGGGCATATTTTGTTTGGCATGTACTTCACACTGGTGTGTAGAGCAGGCGAGGGGGGCGCTGCTCAGACACGGTGGCGACGGCGGGGGCTTGGGGAGGGAGGAAGGTAGTGGCACGCCACCCACCTCCCGCCCGACTAAGTACAGACCGCACGCCCGCCCCGCCATGGGCGGCACACATGCACCGCCATGCACCCCCAGCCACCAATCGTTACTTGACCTAATACGCTCTACCGCTCGCCTGCCTTTGGCCTTGTTTTTAGCTCTGAACTGAATCGGTGGTCCCCTGATGCCTCGAAATGGGGGTTTTTAAAGCTGAATTATGACGACGCTTGGTGTTAATTAGGTAGCACGAGTCCAAGGGCGAGTTTAGAGAAGCACGGTGAAATGCTGCGATCGTTTGGCTGGACTGAAGGCGGAATTGGTATAAGGGCAAGACAGGCGTGAATTTTAGGTACTGGCTGGTCATCAAGGTGAGGAGAGGCGGGCGAGGCTGCCTCACGCCAGGCGCGGAGAGGAGGCGGGCGAGGCCGGTGGCGTGACTGGACGCGGCAAGCGTGCATGCCACACTACTCGCCGCTCCAAGTGTTCAAGTATTCAAAGCAGCTTTACAGTCGCTTCTCCCAATTCTTCCTCTCTTATCCCCTTCCCCCTCTCTTCTTTCCTTCCCCATCTCTTCCCTCTCCTTCTTTCTCCTATCAACACCTCTTCCCCACCCCCAGCCGTAACCCCAGTGAACTGCTGGGCCAGGGAACGTGAGGTTCGATCTGGAGGAGCGTGCATGTGAATTGCCACACACCAGCTCATCACACATTCTCTCTTTGGCAGGTAAATTGTGCCTCCCGGAGTACTCGGGCAGGTATTGTGGATGTTGTATAATGGTCCCGGGTGCATTAAACGTAATGAAAGGCGAGTCCACTTGATGCATAATTTACGCAGACAAGAATATAAGCTTAACCGGGAAATTGTTGCAGAAGTACTTGTGGGGAAAACATGCCCGTGCTACACTGGACGCCGAGGCTCCGGCATTACAACACACGTGTTTATCACCAGTTTCATAATTCCTCGCTACAAATGTCTACAACAAATATATGTTTTATCTGAAAAACAAAGTTTGTTCTCTCGTTTTGTCAGTCTGATTTATCTTTTTTCTTTACTGCAGCGGCACACGCAACCTGGCCGCCCCAACGAGCCATATCCGCCGGGCTGGTGCAGGCTGGGCGCGGGGCAGCCTGGCACCATTATGGTGCTTGCTCTTTGTCGGGTTAAACCCACAATACCTTCGATAGATATCGCAGGGAGTTTAGTGCTCGCTTCACCATTTTATCTACGTACGTGGGACCTTGAAGACGATGAAAGCTCGACGGTCTATAATTTGTGTTTAGGGCAGTTATTACCATTGTAGTTGCCATGATTTTTCTGGCTCATTAAACAGACTTAGTTGTCGTTTAAAATAAGTCTATTTTACTCTTGGCAAATGTTGCTGTACACTGGATGCAGCGAGTGTGGCTGTGGTCTCTAAAATATACACCCGGGAGTCGTTTCATTATTAGGGATTCGTTTGAACCTTTGCGAGGAAAGCTTTTGTACACGCAATGTGGTACAGTAACTCTTGTGTTATGAGTGCCTTGCTTGGAAGCCCAGGAGAAGAACAGGCCAAAGATCGTGAGTTGGAATTATTTTAGACATATTTTACAGAAATTGTAACAGTTGTAAACAAGCCTTTTTGTAATACAAAAATAACACGAAACTATATTACTTTATATGTGGTGATGTATACTCTACACACCTGCCGCTTGTGCAGTGTTGGTGCAGCCGCGAGGAGAAGAACCTGAACAGTATCCACCTCGATTGATGAAGATTAAGCCACCCAAAAGGTGGCACGGGCATGAATAGCCCGTAAGTGGTGGCCCTTTTGAGCCATTACCAGTATCAAGAGCTGATACTGGAGATCTGTGGAGGTGCGACTGCACCCTGCGTGACGGGAGATGTCTCCCGTCCATATCCACCTCAATAATTACATGGGTAAAGTACCCTCATTGAGCACTGTTATGAGATAAGCTGAAGTAACTATATTGTCATTAGTTATGACAGTGTCAGTGGCATGTATTGTCTTGTTAACTGTTGCTAGTGATGCAGTAACTTGCTGGGATACGTATGTATTGCAGAATGTATAGGTTCTGTAGGATTTTATGCAATATTTGATATTCACTGTATTATTTTGATAATTTATCTTCATGAATATATCTAGATTTCTTCTGTGCTGTCGTGTCACGCTGGCCCGCGCGGTGTGGCGTCACGCTGGCCCGCGCGGTGTGGCGTCACGCTGGCCCGCGCGGTGTGGCGTCACGC